AGCCTGTTGCATGGGTGCAGTTTTTGTAACCGCAGGCAATTGAAGAAGGTGGGGCTGACCAGCAGTCCACTGTTCCGTTGCAGCAAAGCCATTTGGCTATTGACCTCTTTTCCTTGCATGGGAAGGTAGGGTTCTGAGAAGTACCGAAGCTACATGCAGGTCAGGGTGAGGCAACATCTCTTTACCCAGATGGCTGGTCTGTGTTTGCCTTCATTGCCAACATGTGACTGATTGTCTGAAACAGGACAACACTTAGGCAATTGCTGAATCTCCTTACCTTGTACTTCCAAATTACCAGATGCAGAGACACAAAAGATTTCTTGCCTCCTGTTATGTGAAACGTGCTGTAGTGTAGAGAGTATTGCCATTCTGCTCTGCCTCCATGTTGCTGTGGACAGGATGTTGGTGATGTTCTTAAGAGGACTTGATCATGGATCTGGGTGACTTTGGGACATGTGCTATCTTTTAGCCTCACTTGCTCCAGGATGCTTGTCTACCTGCAGCTCTTTTGAGGAAGAATGAGGTATCAGCATAATGTAACTGGGATTCTCCAGAAATAGGAAGATTACTGTTCATTTTGGTGGTGAAATAGCTTTCTTACTGTGGAAGTAGTTGCTAGATTATCCAGTGGAATGAGCAGTGTAGGAACATGGAGAGTTCCTAGCTATTTGCACCCTGCGAGAGTTCCAGGTTTAAGGTGTGCTAAATCCAGCCTTGGAATGAAAGTTTAGGATGTAATTTATAGTTATGCACACACCAAAGCATTTCCCCCCATGCGTATTTGTCTCCTTAGGAAGGGATTACTCATGGTAACTGATCTGCAGATATTAGGCCATCCTAAAACATATTGTACCTTGTATGTTACTAGGAATTACATTCTTACTAAGAGGCCTGTAATGTGTAGCAGAGTTTAACAGCTAGAGGCACTGCCCACTCTGGCTTGGTTTGGCAGCAGTCCTGGGTCAGTGGTGGTTTGTCTTGCGCTGCTCCTTTTGTTAGGCATTGAAGCAGTGAACATAGGCTCCTGGGGAGGTTTTCTGTTCAAATGCTAACCTGTTAACTTGCTGTCCTTTTCCTTTGACAGATCTTGACGCTCTTGCCGTTTGATGACCTGAAGATCTCAGGGAAGCCTGTGGTGTGCTCCAGTTGAGCACCTTAAGACTTGTGTGTGAATAGTTATTTTGGGAGATGGTCAGTGATCAAGCTGCTTCACGTTGACAGGAGTAGAGCTGGTCACCAGTAAATCATTCCCCTTGCTGCAGAATGTGAGCCTTTGTGCCGCTTCAGACATTTTTTGGGACTGCAGGAGGCTACGGGGGAAAAAAGTAGCCTAAGAAGAAAATTGCCCCACCGGTCTGTTGAATTTGCTCCTTGGATGTTGATGGGCACTTGACTCCTGTTCAGAGGGACTTGCTCTGTACTTGCTCTGTCTGCTGTGTCTTAATAAGCAGAAACCACAAGGCTCAAGAGGATGACTTTTTTCTCCAGACTTACACCGTAAATAAACACGGTCTGAATCCCCCTTCTTCCTCTTCTTTCATGTCCCTGACAGAACTGTCGCAAGTGTTTTTCTGTTCCATTTCTGCCCAGGATGGCTTCTGTTTGAAATAGGTTTTCTCTCCAGTCAAGTTGTTGCCTGCTGTCATGTAGGCCTTGTGCATTTCCTTCAGGGACTACTCCAGGCTGCACTGTTACCTGGGAGTCCAGATGTAGAATCCACCCTGCCTCTCACCTATTGCCTCCTGTGGAGGAAAACTCTTTCAGACAGAATTGGCTTGACCAGAACTTGCCTTTAGTTTCGCCCAGCTGCCTTGGCAGCAGACAGAAGATTATCTGGACAAATAAAGTATGAGGGGACAAAGAAATTCTCAGCTTCTTTTGTTTCTAGGGCTAGGCCCTGTTCTGCTTCAGCTCTGTGTGGGACAGTATGGCTGCATAGCATGGCTGCATAGCAAAGCACTAACTTATTGAAGCACCATCCAACTTCTTGCAGCACTTTCCTCAAGCAAACATAGGCTGGCAATTTACATAGGTCTATGCTCCAGTTTAGCTTCTGGAACTAGAATGGACAATGAGATTTCAGTGTCTGTGCCTGTCCACCTGGGGTTGCAGGAGCCACCTTGTGCATTGCCTGTGAGTTATCTTCTTGAATGTTAGCTTTATGAGAGATACGTGACAAGACTCCGGGACAACTTTTCCAGCTTTTGCTCGTGATAGTGGGAGAAGCAGTTCATTGGTACTGTTTTTTACATCCTGATTTTTAGCATTTAACACTGCCCACTGAGACAGTGTGTAATCAGGTATTCTTGCTTTGTCTGCGTTTCAAAAGTGAGATTATTGATTCTGTCATGAAAATACTGTGAAACAGCTTTTGGAAGTAAATGGGAGACTGGGATCGTGTTATTGTGCGTTAAGTTGGTGGTGCTTCCCAAGTCAGTGGTTCTAGTGGCTTATGAGGTGGTAAAACTTTGTATACACACTTGGCACAGCTGTATATTTGGGTCATCAAATGGTTGGAATGAGAGTTGCTTACATGTAAACCCTACTTGTGGACGGGGGAAATTCCCAGCTCCTTCCCTCCCATTATTTGCAGCCTGGGAGTGGCTGTTAGTAAAGTGGCAAATCCTGGATGGCGCAATCAGTTGGGATGTTCTAGGGAGACTTTTTCTTTCATCCTTCCTTCCCTGTTTTTCTGAAGACAGATTAAGAAACAGCAGCGGCTTTCTGCAACCTTTTCCTCTAAAGGTCTCACTTATTTTCTGTGTCTTGTTTCAGCTTGAGGCCTTTGTTACTGTTTCTGCCCTGTCCTCTAAGAAATGTGTTTTTTATTTTATACTTTTGTTTCTCAAAAACAAAATAAAGTTCTTAAACTGGTTGAATCTGCTGCTGTTGTGACTGGCATATTTGGTGGTTTAAATGCAATCTGTTCCTACTTCTCCAGCAAAATCAGGGAGCTGGACGGGGGAACAGATTGTCTTCATTGTGGAAGGGATTGTCACTCTCAAATTGGCCTTCTCAGCCACACTAGACACTGTTCCAAGTCCTCCATACAGAGCACGATACCATAGTCTCTCGAGACTGAAGGATGCCTACACGTTCCTACTAATACCTTTCTCCAGTCAATAATATGATCTTTCAGGAGGTTTCTCAGCTAGAATAGCAAAGAGGAGTGCCAGTCAGGCTCATACCAGAGTTCATAGAATGTCCCACCATGAGAATAGCAGTGAGCAGTTGAACTGTAGGAGGAAGTTGCAAGATGAACAAAAGTTTTATTTTCTTCTTCTAACATGACCTTGAGTTAGGGGCTTAAACTGTGCTGCCACCTTGTGGCTGCTCTTAACAGCAGATTTTCTTTGTGGTTTCTCAGAAGCCATGCTACAAGATAGTGATAGTGGATCTCACATAGTACAAAGAAGTTCAGTATTCTGGTACCTTTATTGGCCACTGGGACCTTGTGAGAATGTAAAAGGCAGAATCAGTGGTAGGTCCAGATTCCTCTGTAGTCCTTTCTATGCTTTCCATTAGAGTGGAGAAAAATGAAGTAAGTGTCTCTCTCTCTGTGTGTATATATATGTTTGTGTGTGTGTTTGTGTGTGTGTGTGTGTGAGAGAGAGAGAGAGAGAGAAAGAGAGAGAGAGGATTTGTGAGCTTGGTCGTGATACTGATCATCACCAATTCCTGGTCTAAGAATGTGTTCAAAGGCATCCTGTGAATGTGTTCAAAGGTATCTGTCCGCTTACTCATTGCATTCTTTTGACTCTTGGTTTTTTTGAGGTTCTGTTAAAAACACAGTAGGATCTTGCAACTGTCCACCACTGTCTCATAACTCTGTTGTGATCTACTTTCTAACGAGTTGTCCATTTTCTTTTTTGTAATGACACTCTCAAGATTGATGGATGGTGCTTTAATCAACATTCCTGTGAACAAATGGTTCATGAATATTAATGTCTGCTGATTTCCATACTCGCCTTATGACCACTACATGTTTAGAAAAACAGTGTATTCCCTTCAGACTTGTGATTTATCATAAGAAGTAGCTACTTCTGGATTCTTTGTTTACAGGAAAATTTAAATAGTACAGGATTGTATAGAACAACTATGGTCTTAACTTTCTGCTGCAGGACATTTCTGACACAGTAGATGCTTCATTTTAAGGAACAGCTTGGTTCCAGCAAGCAACCTTTTGTTGTGATTAGGGAACCCAGAATACAGACTTATGAATCAGTACTTTGGCTGGAATGTAACTGAGCACTTAAGATGATGAAATTGCTTCCATCAATGATCTGGGGGAAGGGTGTTCCTCTCTTACAAACCTCTGCCACCTCCCATCCCACCCCGTTCTTTCTGTCTGCTGTGGAGAGTTGAGGCACTGACATACATTTTGGCAGGAACTAAATTGGGGAACTGCAAAAGAGAAGGAAAAGAAAATAAAGCCCTATTACTCAAATGGAAGTCTTATTTGTAGGACATTGGATTCTGTTCTTTAAAAGCTTACAACCATTTTGGAGCTGCTCGCTAAGATAGTCATAGGTGCAGCACAACATGGAGATCTGCAGTGCTAGAAAAGAAGGGCAGCATTTTTAACAAGAAAAAATGCAGTTGACATTGTATTGTGGCAACTGACTCCGCCTATTGAAAGTCAGAGCTGGCGTTAATATCAGAACATGATGCTGTCAATCTTAATCCATGAGAGTCGGCTTCTTTCTGTAATGGTCAGAGCCCTTACTAACACAGGAAGCATACTGTATAAGTCTTAAATGGGCAATATGTTGCAACAGATGCTCCCACAAATGTGGACCAAATTCCCTGTTACATTTGAAAATCACTGTGTAACTCTGAAAAATCACTCCAGCTGAACTGCTGGATAGCTCCATGGTTTAGGTATCTGGCTACAGAGTCAGAGGTTGGGAATTTGATTCCCCACTTGTGCCTCCTTGACAGGTTGGACTTGATGATCCATACGGTCCTTCCAGCTCTGCAGTTCTAAGATTATGATGATACTGGCTTATCGTATTGTATGCCAGTACTGGAGGTGAATGCATAGCCTCCAATCACTTTGGGAATTTCTTTTTCCTCCCACATAGAAATGAATGAACGGTAGTGTTCATAGTTTAGATGTCATCACTACACCCAAGAGTGCACCTATTTCTTTCAGATATAATGCCAGAAACAGCCTGCACATTTTTCATATGCCTATACCTCTGTGTCTCTTTCTGACACACACTGCCCTTCTGAAGCAAGAACAGAAAAGCTGCTCATTTCTGTCCTGTCTCAACAACCAAAACTAGCAGCAGTAAAATGTCCTTTTACCCACATGAGTAACTGCTTCTGTTGGGAAAGCACCAGTCAGCTGCTGAAGTAGAGATCACATGAACTCTTTTCGGGTATTGAGCCCCACATACCCCTGCATCCATTCATTATATTATCAAAAGTGGGGGAGGCCCATACACTGTCGTGTTTAATCCAAGTCTCCATCAATAGAGGACTCAGATGATCAATTTAGTACAGCTAGAGGGCCACAGTTATCCCCCACCCCCAATAGTACAGTTTAGTCAACCTAAATCTGGTTAGGCAGTGCTATTTGGAAGGCACAACCAGCTCTATTTTGAACAACAGATCTGAGCTACTAAGGAAAGAATCTGAGAATCTTCAAACGTGGACAAAAACATGTTTCTGCCCCCACCCCACCCCACTCATTATCACAGTGTCCCATGTATAAAGCTGAGCCACCTACTGAAACTTACTATGGGGATGTCAACACTGAGTAGTTCTGTGTTCATTAAAACCAGGGCTGGAGATTTTCAAGGTTCTGCTTTTGAGATTCAACTTAAAAATGTTATGCCTTCGGGCAAAGCAGAACCTTAAGCCACATGATGGCATCTGTGCAATGCCAGTGCTGATCAGCCAGCCCACTGGGTAGCATAAACAGCAAGAGAAAGTCTGAGCAGTCCAGATGGAAAAGGATATCCATTTTCAGTGTCCTAATTAATTGCTGTCTAAAGAGCATATCTTCTGTGAATTTGTCTAAATGAACATTTATCAGTGCAAATGAACTGCAATGGCTGTCAGCATGGCCCTACGTTGTGTTTCTACAAAGTGGTACCTCTTCACTATGCAGCACATTACTGAAGGTGTCATAATCCAGGCTTTCCTCATGGGCTATAAATCATCTTGGGCTATGAATTCTATTGCTGTATTCCCTGACCATTAATGCCCTGCTTTGAGGCTGATAGGAGATGTAGTTCAAAACATCTGGAGGGATCCATCTTGAAGAGTCCCTCAGCAGCAGCAAAATGCATGGCCTTTTTTTGGCTCACAATCTGCCACTGAACCATATGGATGATAATATGTGAATACACTTGTACTGTACTTGTGAAAAACAAGTAATGACAAGATGCCCAAACAGGCAATGGGGGAGAAGCTCCTCTAGCACCTGCCTCTCTAAAAAGAAATTTTCTAAAAAGAAAGAAGTGGAGCTCTTTTCTTTCATCTCAAGAGGAGGAGGTATATCTACGGTGATTCCTCAGTGCATGTGGTAGGAGCAACACTCTGTGCACGCCTAGGGGCACCCTTTAGCTTTGCCTTCACCGCAGACTGCCAAGAATCAGTCTTAACGTTGCAGCGGAATTCAGGGCCTGAGGCCTAGCTCAACGATCCTCTTCTCCCCAACAGCCCGTCCTCAACTTCATCATGGGTATCCCGCCTACTCTGAGGAAACTTCCCTTTCGGCCCCCTCTCCCCTCCTCGGCTTTCCCCCTTCAGAAGAACCCACTGCAGGGGACCTCCGGGCCAGCAAGCGGCGCTGTGGGGGCCCTAAAGGCCCAGTTTGGCCGGAGCGAAAAAGGCCGGTTCCTTGGCCTTATGGTGCCAGGGGGAGGCGCGGTCGTGTCCGAGGAACCGACGGGCTGCGGGGGGAGCAGCGAGGCACCGGCCCGGGGGGGGCACCATGGGCCGCAGGTGGGCTACTCCGGGTCGCGGTGGGTAAAGGTGGCGGGCACGGGTAAGCCTGTACGCCGAGGAGGAGGCGGTGGCGGCGACCGCTGGCTCTCTCTTTCTCGGCCCTGTAACGGATGAGCGAGCGGCTCCCGAGGCCGCCCAAATTGGGGCTCTGGCCG